AACCTAAGGGCCCCCCCCCCCCCAGAGTAGAAATCCTGTAGAATTGTGGGTCAGGTGAGGGAGGGAGCCCACACCTTGCCGAGTGGGCCAGGTGCAGGGCCCACAGGTCAGACCAGGCTGGACCCTGTCACAGTGCTGGGTATTTCCAGTGTGGAGGGGCTGCATTACACTGAGAGTTAAGAAAAGGAAGCAGCCAAGGATTGCTTTTTAAAAAAACATAGAAATTAGATTGAGAAGTAGAAAGGCGTAGAAACGCGGGAGGGCAGAAGCCATGGCACCAGGGCCTTGGCCCCATGGCAGGCAAGAGTGGAAGTGGAGACCAGGCTTGCCCAGGCATAGCTGCCCAAGATGGGCTACTCAGGCTGGCTCTGGACTTCACTAGCCTCAAGCCTGTGTTCTGCTCAAGGCTGGGTGTGACACCCGGCCTGTGACTGCACTGGACTCCAGGTGGGGCAAGTGGATGGATGGGCAGCAGTCCAGAATTGCCACTGGGATGCCATGGTGCTGGCAGGCCAGGAAGGCTGCAGAAATTAACATATGGCCTTTCTCCCCTGCTTGCACGAGGATTTGCCACACTGGAACATTCTGTGTGGTGACAGGTCCTGGATCAGTAGATACTGGGTTTTCATGCACATCAACAAGTCTGGAGCCAAAGGAGATGGTAACGAGTCTCCACTCTCAAAAACCAGTGCAACATCAGTGAGGTTGGACAGTTGAGAACTGGAATCAACAACAAGCAGGCTGGACCCCTGCTGGAGCTGCTACCAATGGGAGGGGACCTAGGGAGGCTTGCCAGCAGACAGAGAGGTGGCAGACTGGGCCTGGACCCATAGCTGGCACCAGGAGGCTGGGAGCTCAATGCAGGGAAGATGTCTGGGAGTGCCTCCTAAGCCAAGCTAAGTGAAGCATTCTGGTCTCTCTTCTATCATGGGCTGGATGTCCTGCCAGCTTCCATGACAAGCTGGGCCCCTCAGAGCCTGGGGCATGAGGCAAGGCTTGAGAGGACTGTGTGGCATGGCCGTATCTTCCAAGAGTCCTGGGACAAGCTCCTGGGCCACATGTGTGCTTGTCCCCAGCCGCCTGGGTGTACCCAGGCTAGGCCTCCCAGTGGGACCAGCTCACTGGCCTAGCACCATGGAGACCACAGCGCCTCATAACATCCTACTTGGAGCCCGTGGCTGCCCCTGGTTCAAGCCGGCCAGTCATGGCCCGGCCCCAGCAGCTGGCTGCCACGCTCATGCTGCGCTGGCCCCGCTCGTTGTCCACCAGGCTCTGCGTCCGATCATGCCGGTGGCTGGGCCCACTGGGCTGGGCTGAGATGGTGCGGAGCAAGTGGTTCCGGGAGCGCAGGAAGTCGCCCTGGCCAGGTAGGCCGAAACTGCCCTTGCGCAGGGCCATGCGGGTAGCTGTGTTGCGGGCTGGCCGTGCCCGATGATTGTACTTGAGCTGGGCCAGGTGGGCTGCATAGCCGTCTGTGATGAACTGCAGAGGCGGGACATGGACTGGCGGTCAGCAGGGCTGGGGCTCCCCAAGCTGTCTGCCTGTGCCCCTTCAGTGCCCACTCACCTGGCACTGCTGTTGCAGCTTCTTAGTGGGTCGGCCCACGATGTAGATATGCATGGGGGACAAACTAATGGAGCTGTAGACCGCCACATCCTTTGTGGAGCCATAGGCTGCATGTGCGCGCAGGTGCAGCTGTGAGTGAGACAAGTGTGGGCACAGGCTGGGCCCTCTTGCCTACCTTACCCTGCCCCGGTCTTCCCAAGCCCCACCTCAGAGATGAGCAGCTTTAGGAAGTTGGCCTTGTGCCGCAGCGGATCATGCACCAGGCCATCACAGAAGGACACCACACCGTGAGGGAAGTTGTGCTGGGCCAGCCATGCTACCACCCGCTGCTTCTGCATGTCAGGCCGACCCGTCACATAGATGATGAGGTAGCCCAGGTCCTGCCAGTGTCTGCAGAGGCAAGGGGCAGGCCTGGGTGTCCCATGGCTGCCCCTTCTCATCCTTGGGCTGCCCTCTTTCCTGCCCAGCTTGTGTCTACCTGGGCCACTAAAAAGTGCATCTTCAGCTGAGTCTGAGGGTAATCCCAGCTACTCAGAAGACTGAGGCAGGAATATTGAAAATTCAAAGCCTGCCTGGGTTGCAGAGTGAGCTCAAAACAGCTTGGGGAACTTAATGAGAACCTGTCTCAAAATAAGTAAAGAGGGCTGGGGATGTAGCTCAGTGGAGTACTTGCACTTGCCTTATGTGAGTGAGGCCCCGGTTAAATCCCTAGTACTACACATAGGAAAAGAGAAAGGAGAAAGTACAACTTTGTCAGGATTTGAACAATAGTGGTAATGAGGGTGAGTGGCAGCATCAAACCCTCACAGGCACTCAGCTGGGGGCCTCCTGAGTATCCTCAAAGGAGGCACGGCATAAAGAGCATCTACAACTTGTTCAAGAGCACACTGGTCACTGGTCACATTGGACTCCAGACTTGGGTCTTGAAGACCTTGAAGGCTCAGGGGCTATGCTGTTTCCTCCCCTACTTGGCCTGCAGGAGCCTCTAGCTGCTGAGCCCACCTATCTTCTGATAGTCATACGAGGTTCTCAGGGCTACTCACCGCACCACGTCCACAGCCCCGGCGCGCACCTTGGGGTCACTGCCCATGATGGACACACTGGCAGCAAAGGAGCCATCAATGCTGAAGACCACAAACTCTGTGCCCTTGGGCAGCACAGTGATGTAGCTGTCGGCAAATGTGTGGTCTCCTCTGGCCAGCAGGGACAGCTCGTCAGAACCAGCCAGAGTCCCCTCTCCTACCCCCAGGAGGCTGGCCCTGCCCTACCCATCCCACCCGAGGTGCATACCTGACCACCATCTTGATGGGGTAGACGCCCACCCCCAGGCGGTGTGTCTCTGGGATGGTGTAGGAGACGCGCCCACTATTGTTGGTCACCAGTGTGTCCAGATGCAGCCACTCACCCGAGGGTGGCTGCATCATGATGTGTACATCCACCTGGAGCCCAGGTAAGATGGTCACAAGCTGGCCACAAGCTGGCCATGGCCTGGCCAGAGGGAGGCAGGGACCATCCCAGGTACCCATGTTCTCACCTTCTCCCCAGTCAAGGTGACCATGTCCAAGGGCCCATACATGAACCGGCCTGTCACAACCTGTGGGCCATCTTCGTTGGCAACTGCATCGTTGATCCGGTGGTTGGCTGTCACATTCTGGGGAGGGAAGGGCAAAGTAGAGTGATGGAGGGTGCATGGAGAGTGGCAGGGGTCTTCTTATATGGTGGGCCTGAGGGTTTGCTGTGGACTCTGAGTAAGGCAGCCTTTGTTGTGGTTCAGCCAATGATCTGACCAAGCCAGGAGGAGAGGAAGCCAGCCTCGCTGCACTTCCTTCCCTGTCTGTGAAATGGGTTTAAAGCTTCTACTTCACACCTCAAGTATTGATGAGACAGTGCACTTCAATGACTCAGCTTCCTCCTCCATAGTATGGGGCTTCTTATTACACAGGACTAAATGGCTGTAGGGTCTTACAGCTATAGGGCCTTTACCCTCAGCTTCACGTGTGTCCTTTTGCGCTGCCACTTCTCTCTTGGCTGAGAAGGTGTGAACACAGACATTTCCTTGCCATCCAGCTCCAGGATACTGGAGCTATCGTGCCGCATGACCTAGGAACAGAAGTAGGCAATGGGGAAGGGTAAAGCCAGGCCAGGCTCAAGTTTGAGTGGCTGTTCTAGAAAAGGCCCAAAGGCACCAGGAGCTGGCAATGGGAACCTGGGAGGGCTTAGGGGACACTATCAAACCCTCTAAGCCTGTTCTGCCCTCCCCCACAAATTCCCATCTGTGTGTGAATATACAGTGCATCCCTCCCATCCCAACATGCCCTGGTGGTCACACACCCCAGCATAAAGATTCCCCTATTCCACCTGCTCTGTGACCTGACAGGACAGGGTGGAACTCTCACAGTCCCTCATCCAATCCCGAGTCCTTAGGGATCTCCTGTGAGGCCTTGGCAGTTGGGACAGTGGATACCTGTCTAAGCAGAAAGGAGACGACGTCAGTTGACTCCCAGTAGCTGGCGTGGAAGAGGTGGGGCAGGGCCACGGTGGGGAAGGCCGTGAGGGCATCGGGGCAGTACAGGGCATAGTCAATCCTCTTCTGGCCCCACCACTTTGCAGCAACTGCCAGAAGGAAGGAGTGTGATTGTACTAGGGTCCTAGACAGAGACTCTAGTAGGTCATCTGGTCCTTAGCTCTGTTAAACTCAGACCAGTTTTCCCTCCAGCTGCAGCAAAGCAGTTTTTCTTCTAGGCTGGTGACAGGCAAGCAGCTTTGTGGGTAGAAGGTGCCACAAGCAGCCCTGCTGCAGGGGGTGGTGATGCTGAGGGGCACAGGGATGTCTGTAGGCAAGACTAGCTGTCCCCAGTTGTTGCAGATCCTAAGGAGCCCCTGGCCTGGACCATAGAGGCCCTCTCTGTCCTTGGTCCTGAGGTTCAGGAGTGTGAAAGGTGGCACAGAGCGCCTTTGGTTTGATAATTCTAGAACTTCCAGGTGAGGTTTGCTGCCATCCTCAGTGCCTTAGCTGCCAAAGAGGTCCAAAGAGGACAAGATGAGATAGATGGTCTTGAACATCCTCCTTAAAGGGAGAAACAGCATGCCACACCTGCTAGCTGTACATCTGATGTACCCATCTGATGGTGACTATCTCTCCAGAGTTCTTCCCACAGCCTGTGCAAAGAGGACCCTTAGGGCCTCATTTCAGTTCTTTAGCACCCAGGTACCTCTAGCCTTACCCTCCCCTCCCTGGAAGGCTGCATCCTTCCCGCCCAAGCCTGGGCTCCTGACCCTGGCAGTAAGCGGTGAGACACGCTTGGCAACAGTGAGTGACCAACCCCAGGTTAGAGGGGAGTGTGCTATGCGTGGGGTACCTTCTCCGATGTCCAAGTCAGGGAGGCAGGGGGCCCTCTCCAGGCTGGAGCTCACCTGCTTTGCCCTGGTACGGGGACCTTGGATGGTAGGGGATGGGGGGGGCAGGGCAAGCAGGGACAGGCGCCTGACGCTGGGGGTGTGGCTGAGCAATGAAGGACCCTCTGGGAAGCAAGAACAAGGGCAATGGCTCAGCCATACCCACACCAGGGGCCACCACACTGCCACCAGGGCAGGGAAGATATAAGGACGGAGCCAGGGCCCACCAAGGGAAGACCCTCCCCTTAAGAAAGTTGAAATCTCCAGAAACCCCCAGAGCAGTCCCAGCTTTGGCCCAGTTGCTCTGGCCACAGCCTCTCTGAAGTCCCCTCTCCAAACCTCCCAACCAGGCCACCTTAGGCTGGGATGGCCAAGCAGTCATTGTGGTAAGTGTCCCAGCCCTGCAGGGGTTCAGCGCTGGCTCCCTGCCAGCTAGACACCATTAACACCCTCCCCAGGTGTGGCACCAAGAATGTCTCCAGCCATGGCCATAGGGACTCTTAGCTGAGGGCAGAAGTGCTGGGGATGGCACTCACTCTGGGCAATGCTGGATGCTGTGTAGCTCTCAGCCATGCCTGACACCTGGCTGGCAATGCTGATCTCACTGGCTCTGCGGAAGCCACGGCTGGTAGGAGCTGTGCTGGGTGATGAAGGGGCTACATGCTCTTGGAAGACTGTGTTGTGGGTCTGGAGTACATCCGCTGTGGGTGGATAGGGACAGAGAGGTCCAAGTGAGAGAGGCCCTGCCTGGCTCTAGGTTCCCCAGCAGTGGGGGAGGCCAGCTTGCCGGGTCCAGCGTGCACCCGGGCTGGGCAGGCTAGGGAGTGGCTGGTTCAGGGCTGTGAGAGCCAAGGGCCTGAGTTGAGGCAGGGAAGAGGAGAGTGGGGTAGGAAATGACAGACAGATGGACACAGACACAGGGTAGGGAGGCAAGGCATGGACTCCCGCCCCCCCTGGCCACCTCTTTTTCCATATTTGGTCCCACAGTTGCTTTCTGGCAGCCCCAGCAACAGAGACCTCCTGAGCCCCTGGGTTGGACCACAGCTTGGCAGTGGTGGTAGCCCCACCCTGGGTTTGAGGGGTGTGTTGACAACAGTGGCCTTGGGTAGCTTCCTAGGGATGCCCTGCATAGGCTGAAGACTTAGGAGGCAGCCCCCTGAGTAGCCCTCACATATAGTGCACATCAAGCCATCCCCTAACAGTGTCTGAAGACACAGGCTGAGGGCTCCAGCCTGGCTCACTGGGCCCAGGCTGTAGAAAAGAGAGTACAGGGGGAATAGGGCCCAGGTAGAAGGCCAGTGTGGATGGAGAATCAGAGGGGCCCTCTCAGGGAAGGAAGAAGGGACCCAGAGAATCCTAACTCCTCACCAGGACCAAGGATTTCTAAAGGGTAAGGGATGGTTGGCCTGAGGTCCCACTCTTTTGTCCTCTTTATCTGAGCGTGTCTGCAGTCACAGGAAGAGGGGAGGACGGGGACGGGACGACAGCATCCTTGCAAAGTCATATGCTGTGTGACCCTGGAATAGCCTCTGTCCATCTCTGGGCAGCTGTGACCACTTTGTGTTTAGGTCACCTCAGCTTCTGACTTACTGTATGCAGAAAAGAGGAACCAAGACTAACTCCCCGTGGCCATGTCCTTGCTTCCAAGGTCCCACAAACTCCAAGTGGCCAAAGAGGGCATGAGGGGGCATGAGGACCAGGGGTCAGCAGCCAAGCAGAACATCAGTCACCATGAGTTGGGGGTACACACACTCAGCACAGCCCGGGCTCTGGCGGGGCCCGTCTTGCCAGGTGAGCGCGGGAACAGGAATACTGGTTTCCAGGAAGCTGTCCCCGTGGGGGAGAGGGGCCAGGGGGCCACCCTCCAGGACCAGCTCAGGGTTTCTCTGCACGGTCTCAACTGGAGGCAGACGGGGAGAGAACAGAGAGGACAAGAACAGACACTCAAGTGTGCCATCTGCACACATGCATGGACTTGGGCTCCTTAAGGACCAGGACGTGATGACAAGATGCCAGGACACGCTGGGGTAGGGAATGGGCCATTCTGGGGGTGCTCCCTCCCATACTCCCAGTCATTTCTGGGCCAGCCACCTGCCATGATGGGCACAGCCCACAATGCCCCCAACTTAGTGAAAAGCCTCTTGGGTCCTTAACTGTGTCTCTGTGGGGTTGGAGACCCCAGAAGCAGGAGAGTCTGGCCCTGGCTGATACTGGGACTCCTGGGGAAGCTCTGACAGGGATCAGTGAGGATGACTGCATCTGCACCTCAGCAGGTGTTTATTGGGACAGGTGTCCACTGAGGATGGGTGCTTGTCTGTGTCTCCTTTTGGGAAGACCCACAGTGTGTGTACGGGGCTGTGCACCATAGGGGCTACAACCAGCCTTAAAACATCAACCTCCACCTTCCTGAGGAGTCTCACCCAGCAATGTGGAGCAGCCATCCCCCAGCGGGTAACGTTGATAGCGGGGTATGCTAAAGGGTGGCAGTGTGTGGAAGCGCCGCTCCAGCAGTGGCTCCAGGCGGGAGGCTGATGGGTCCGCAGGGTGGAAGAGGTTGTACACTTGCTGACATGCTGGCCGCAGCTGGAAAACTGGGAATGAAGGAGTCAGTTGCAGAGAAAGGAGACTTTAGGTAGAAAGTGGGGTCTGGGGCCCAGGCTCTCTCTGCCATATATATTTTTTAAAATCAGTTTGAGATCTGTTTGAATCATTGTGCCTTTATTAATAAAAAAATTATCTTTTACCATGTAGCTCCCAGGCTGGCATTGAACTTGAACTCTTCCTGCCTCAGCTTCTCTCCTGTCTGTTGAGATTACAGGCATGTGCACCACTGTGCTCAATTCCATTTTTTTTTTTTTTGGTCTTTTTGAGACAGGGTCTTCTGTAGCCCCAGCTGGCCTGGAACTAGCTATGTAGACCAGGCTGGCCTTGAACTCTTAGAGACTGCCCGCCTCTGCCTCCAGAGTGCTGGGATTAAAGGTGTGTGCCATCACACCCAGGATCCATTTTTTTTTTTAATTGGAGAAGTTATAGTTACCCTAGTAAGAACAACTGTCCAGCACAGGAAAGAGTGATGGACAGCACACTGTGGAGGGCTTCTTCTAGCTCAGGATTGTCCATGGGGACTCCATGTGGATCTTTACTGGGTGCCACACATGCACAGGCTAAAGTCGCCCCATCACTGCCTTGGTGTAGACATGCTTCCCCCTTTATAGACCACCTCCTGGATTGTGAGGAAGGCTTGAGTGTCAGGGGCAGGTGCCTTCCTTCTAAACCACACCCATGTAGGAGCATATATGCTGTGCTTTTTAAACTCTGTTTTCTCACATCAGCATATAAAGTTTCACCTCATTCTTCCTTGGGGTGACAGGGGATCCCATAATACAGTCTTTGTGGGAGTGTGAGAATCTGTGGGACTTCTCCAAGTGAGGTGGATGGCTTTGCCCTGCAAGTGGACAGCTGCCCCTGTGTGTAAACTCAGTTGTCGAGTCCTTTTAGGGCTGCTGTTGCCACCTCAAGGAAGGGAAAGGGCATGGAATGCTGCATGTCCAGGGCATTCATTTTAACCGAGCCTCACTGCTGCTCACTTGCTCTTGGCTTGTCTAGGCCTCTTTGGGGGATGTAACTAGGAAGATAACAGTTACTGTGGAGGTCATCATGGCTCTGGTGCTGCACTGGCTAATCTGGACACAGGGATTTCTGGGATGCTAGGATGCTCAACTTGCCATCCTGCTTCCCATCTTATGGAGACTGTGAGGAGCTAACACCACTGATCCAGGAGGTCCACATCTGTCCCTATGGGAACACCCTAAACTGAAGACTAGGTCTGTTTTACCTGACCTTCCCTGACCTAGCTGTGTATCCTTCTGCTCCAGGGTGCCTTTGCAAGTTATAAAGCAAGAGGTTTCAGGAGATGGGCAGGTGACTGTTGCTGAAGCAACAGGAAAAGGCAGTGGTCCTGGGTGGGTAGTTATGGACTAAATGTGTGTGGAGCCCCTTGAACTGAGCAGCAGTCACATGCTGAAGGCATAACCATGGTCTTGTGATAGATTTACAAAGGCTCCTGCCCAGTTTAGGCAGCCTGTCCTTCCCCTGCAAGGCTCTCACCATCCAGGGAGGGAATGACTGTTTTCCTCAAGGCCAGGACCAGCCCCAGTGGGCACCCGAAGAGGAAGAGGTCGGCGATCTCGAAGTCAAACTTGCCCAGGGCTCCAGTGCCGTCCAGCATGGTAGAGCTGCTTGAGCGGTGGGAGCTGGGCTCATTCCTCAGCACACTGGCGTGGAGGCTGCAGTGGGGGATGTGCAGGTCACCTGGGGTCAGCCTCACAAGGGACAGACTGGATCTGGGCCTGTGCTGTCCTGAGTGTGCAACTTAGCACCTACTGGGACACTCCTAGTGACAGTGAATTACAACCAGGGGGCCTGCTGCCTGCAGGATAGACCTAGCCAGATCATGCTGTTCCTGACTCCACCTTATTCTCACTGTCAGGACAATGTGTTTCATGTGGCTGATGGTAGCCCTTGGTATATACATGACCACAGACCCAGTAAGCTGGGGAATCCTCCAAACAATGTCTGGCAGAGACTCCCAATACCCCATACATGCAACTGGCATGTGGGCTGGAAGAGCATCTTGGTTCCTCTATGCTGGGGCCCCTCCCTCTGGAAGTGTCCCCAACCCCTACCTGGACAGGAAGGCCTGGTGCTGCTGGATGGTATCTAGCTCATAGGTAGACGAGTCGCTCCTCTTGCGGGGCAGCTGCCTTCTGGAGTCCTCAGTGCCATTGCTGCGGGGGATGTCGATGTTGCTGCGGCTCAGATGCCGACTGCTCTCTAGACTGAAGCCACCACTGTTGCCACTGCCACTGGAGCAGTGTGCTGTATTCACCAGGATGCCCGGAGATAGCAGGTCAGCGTCCTGGAACGGCCCCATGGAGGCTCACTGCCAGGTGGCTTCTGGCCTGGGCCTTTCTTCTGTGTTCTGTGAACCCCTTACTCCTGACTCTAGGCCCTGCTAGCCACTGTCCAGTTGTGGGATTCTTACCCAACCATCGGGGAAGATCTTGTCTCCCACTATCCCTCAAACTATTGGCTAAGTCCTGGCAGCCTTCGTTCCTGAGCTGGCTGGTCACAAGGTACCAGGTGATCTTCCCTAGGGGATGGCTACTCTGCATCAAGAGATTTCAGAGCCTTCCTCTCTGCTGGCTCTGCCCATCTCACCTCCCAGGACCAGAGCTATACCATGCATGCAGACCCTAGTGTGGGGTGTGTGAAGCCACATGCTCTCTTGACCCTACCATATTACAATGGTTCTCCAGCCCCCAAGGTCCTGCCATGACTCCCACACTAACAACCTGTATCCTTCTTGTCTGTCTACTGAGGGATTCTAAGGAACACTCTCAGCTCCTTTGGGTTGCTGTGGACCTGACTTGAGGATCTTCCCTGAGTCCTTAGACAGACTCAGGTATCTTCTGTTTCCCATGTCTTGAGCTCGTGCTAAGCCCAGAGGCTTTGACATTGTTGAGTGGACAGAATAGACAGAGCATGGCTGGAAGTGTCCATGTCAGCTCCTCGGGGTCTTTGCTAGGTACCCTGCTTGTGGGACACAGAACAGGCCAACTGAAGGTTTGGTGCCCTGCAGCAGGAAGGGTAGCCAATCTCCATGGCACACCACAGATTGCAGAACTTGGTGGAGGTGCGGGACCAAAGGACAGTCCTACCCGAGCCCCTGCTTGGGTACCTGCACACTGACCACGCTGCCCCGGCGGCTGCTGCTCTGACTCTCAGACACTGGCTGGCTGCTGTAGCATAAGGCATCGAATGCCAGGATTCCCCCAACACAGTCTCCAATCAGGCAGACCTGGAGGCAGGAGGGCAGAGGCCTGAATCTTTACCCTGCTTATTGGGCTGCAGGCTAGAGAAAGCCATTCCCCTTGGTCCTCTGGTCAGCCCACCCTGAAAGGTCTTCCCCTACCTCCTACCACTACTCACCTGTCCGTTGAAGGTCACACCTTCCTGGGACTTGATGAAATCCCCATAAGCCAGGTTGGCCCGCTGAATCACTGTAGAAACTGCCTCTTGGTACTGGGGTGAGGAAGTGGCCAGCAGGGGCAGGGCAGCTAGGGGGATGTGGTCCTGGCTGCTGGACAGGCAGCCCTCATCATGGCCGTAGGGGCTGAGGCTGGGGGTAAGGGGCTGGGTCAACAAAATGCAGGTGGACTCCACTTGACCCAAAGGCCCCTCACCTGAGCAACAGGCCTTCTCAAAAGAGCTTATGGAGACAATCCCAGGCCATGCCTCAGGCAGGCTCAGGGGGCCAGGACCACTAAGTAAACCCATATACCCCAAATAGGCTAGCATCCCCTTTCTACAGAATTGGACCCTGGACACAACCTTGGGCCTGTCCTCCAGGAATCTGATCAGCTTGTCTGCATAGGCTCTACTGCTTCTGGGCTAAGGGGGCTAGATGGCAGGAAAGGAAATCTGTACAGAGCAACTGACACTGTATGGCTACTTAATGCTGGGGGCCAGAGGTGAGGACAGTGTGCTGCTGTTTCCCCTCCCTGTGGGGCCTGATGGGTGTGGACAGGCACATGCCACTCACTTGGAGACGAGGGCGAAGGCGTCAGCACAGATGGGTGGACAGGGCACCAGGCGGATGGCTAGGTGACCTAGGGCGCTGGGGTAGTGTACACGCATGACGGTGTCAAACACATTGGCAATAGTGTTTGCATCACCCTGCTTGGAGCTGGGGTCTCCGGCTCCTGTGTCCAGGATGGTGCCTCCATGCAGCACCAGCAGCAGCACGTGGATCTTGGAGGGTGGCACGGCCAGTGGCTGGCTCACCTCATCCTGCATGGGCAGGGGTGGGCATGAACTCCTTGCCAGGCTCCAGTTGCCCTGTTTTTTTTTGTGGTTCTGGGAGTTGAACTTAGGGCCTCACATATGCTAGGCAAGCACTCTACTGCTGAGCTATATTCCTTCTAGTACAGAGATATATTCCCAGCCTAAAAACCCTGGTTTTTGGTTATCTGGTTATGGAGTCTGGAGTTCATTGCCTTAGACCCTCCTTTGGACCCTTGCAGGGACCAGGGCCTGGAGAAAGAGAGGGGTGGCCTGACCAGGGACACGGTAGACACAAGGGAATGTCTTTTCCTGAGCAAGCATCAGTTCCGCCTCCTTCAGGGTCTCAGGTAGCAGTTTCTGCTTGGGCTCCAAAGCCTCGGGAGGTGTCTTGCTTTCTCAACCCCAGGCCCTTGTCTAAGATGAGGGTTTCCAGAAAGTAGGGATATTCTGGTGGAGGGAGGGTCCCAGCACCTTCCAGTAGGAAGATCAGGTCATGACCCCACCTTCCTACTAGCCAGGCCTGCAGTGATGTCAAGGCAAGCCACTAGAATGCATACCTGTGTATAGGAGTACAGAGCTCTATCTTTCAGAAACAAGGCAGTGGGGTGAAGATGCCCAGACACTGGTCACTTAGCATGTCAGCACCAAGACAGACTGGAACCCAAAATCCCTACCAAAGCTCTCCTGGCAGCCCAGGTTATGGTCCCTGCCCAGAAGGTTCTTCCTGAACCCCTTGCCCTGAGCTCTTGGTGTGTGACTGGAGAGAAGTTCAAGAAGGGCCACTGTTAGTATTTGCTGAGCCATGTTTGTCCATGAGTAGGTGAGAAGAAAGTAGAAGAGAGACCAGTTGTAGACCATGGGGCTCTTTCTCCTCCCAGAGGCTGGGGTAGGAACAACTGTCCATACTGGGGACTGCCCACTACAGGCTGGACTGGGTGGGAATGGTTGGCCAGCCCTATCAGGATCAAGTGCAGTGACCTCTCAACACAGTGACCACAAGGTTAGAAATGTCTATGGAAGCCTGCCTGCCTCTGGACAGGAAGCTACAGCCCAATAGCACTTTATCGACTGGGGATGGGCAAGGTTGGGTCATGGGGCTGAGAGAACCCAGAACCTGTCTGGCTCTCTTCAGGGATATCCACGGGCCTAGAAACATGGCTTTCCTCACACTTGGCCTAAGGCAGGAACTGCCTCTGCTCTGGTCTCTAGTGAGAACAGAGCCTACAGTAACAGTAAGGCCAGCTCTGGAGAACCAGAACATCCTCTAGTCAGTGTCTCCATCAAGCCACCCTTCCATAAGGGAAGGTTCCTGTTTGGGGGCTAGTGTGGACAGAGAGGTTTGACTGGATGGCAGTGCCCCAGAATCAGTGCTGGGCTCCAAATGCACATCCCATGGCAGATCCCAAGCCCCAGGCTCCACCCCTCTCCTGGGGGACAGTCAGAGCTGTGTGTGCCAAGTGGGAAGGGCCTCTAGTTTGCTTTGTTTAGCATTAAGAAGCAACTGGCAGTCATTCCCTTGGCTTGGCTACCTGCTTCTAGAAAAGCTCACCTCCACCTCAGACCTCAAAGCAGAAGACCCCAGAAGGGGAAGAGGTGTGCCTGCCTCTCTCCCAGGCTCCCCAGGGGGACCCAAATTCCCACTGAGGTGCTATCTCCAGCTTGGGCAGCCTAGGGTCAGAGCAGGACAGTGCTCATGACCACAGCACAGGACAGTTCTGACCCAGCCTGGTTCCTGCTCCAGTACAGACAGCTCTGATGGCCCTCAGGTGGAGGGAGTGCAAGCTCTGGCAAAGAATCCCCAAAGTGGACACAGGCTCCACAAAGTCAGCTTTATTGCACATACTGAGCTCTGCCTGACCCCAAGGGCCACCTCATGGACTACGGTGACACTGCTTCACCCTAGGCAACTTTGGCTTCCTCCCCTTCTGTCTTTTTATCTTCCAGAGCTGCAGAAAGGCTGGGAACAAGGTGAAGGTCTTAGTTCTGTTCTGGAATTTACAAGGTTCTCATTTTACTTTCCCAAAGATGGAGCTTGGTCAAGGTTTTCCTTGGGGGCTATCTGCTGTCCCTGGTTCTCAGAGACATCATAGAGAGGGGGCTGCCAGGAGTCTCCCTAGGAGGCAGCAAGGAAAGGAACCCCTGGGCCTTTCTGGTGAGTGTCTGGCCAAGCATGTATATGAGGCAATGGCGAGTTCTGCCTCTGAACCCTGTAGACTGCTTCTCTGTACCCAGCTCCCCTTCCCCACAGCCTGAGCATCACAGCCTTGGCCCATTAGTGTCTAGGTGGGCACTTACCTCGATGATGTTCAGCTGCTCCACACTGGAGGCGACCCTGAACTCAGGGCCACTCTGGTGGTATAGACCATCTGCAACACAAAAGTCATACTGTGAGCTGCAGATGCAATAGGCAGCCTGATAGCCATGATGAGGGAGCTCTGGCCTAGGAGCACCTCCCCCCGACACCTCAAGCCCCTAGGTCCCACCATTGTGCAGGCCCTGGGGAAGAAAGGAACAGGTTGGGCCCTCCAGCCCTCTCAAGCTGGTTACCCTGCGGGTCTTCAGGCTCTGAGCTCTCCATTTTGTCCATGAGGTCATTGGAGTTCCACTTAGTGATATCCTTGGGGAACATTTCCTCTGAGTCGGACAGGTCCTCTGGGGAGGAGGAGGGACTTCAGTGGGAACTGGGGACCACAATGGACCTGTTGTGCTCCTTGAGCCCACATACCCAGTGTGCCCAGCTCTGCTCTTTCTTCCCATCTTAATAGGCTAGCCAGGCAACTGTATGCTACCTGATGTTTTTTCCCATCATATAAAATTTTCCATTTACATCATTTTAAAGTGATACCTACCATATTCACAATGCAGTACAGACATCATAACTATCTAATTCTAGAACATTCTTATCACCTTAAATGGAAACACTATGCTAGCTCACAAGCAGTCAGGCCTCACTGCTGCTCCCAACCCCTAGCAGTATGCTTTCTCCTCTGGGCCTTTGCCTGTTTCTGGATATTTTCCATGGACGCAGCCACATACTATGTGGTCTTCTGTGCCTGACTTTGTCCATGCAGGGTTGTGGTTTTGAGGTTCATCCTTGTTGCAGGGAATGCTGTTGCTTTCTTCCCTTTCATGGCTCCACCATATCCTTTGTTTATCTGTTCATCTGCTGATGTTGTTTAATGTTCGCCAAAGTGCAGCTCAGTGAGGAATACTGCTGCAAATACTTCATCCTAGACTGGACTCTCATTTTCACTTTTCCAGAACCTCCCTGTGGGCTGGGCAGCTACCTGTGCTTGTGCTGTGGCCTCTTCTTTCTTAGGCCACAGATGGGCTCCTGGGCCAGAGTGTTTAGGAGCCTGCTACCCTGCTTCTGTGCTCCTGTCTCTTCTTTCCTACGGCCTTTTCTAGACTAGATGGGTATCTTCCTCTTTCAAGGACAAAGCTAGCTGGGAGAGGTGAGGTACTAAAGACACCCTTTTCCAATCTTGTCAGGGTCACTGGTGCAAAGCTTGATTTGGGAGCCATTTGCCAGCCCTTCCAGCTTGTCTAACCCCAAGTCAAGCCATTTTTTGCTGGACATTGACTTCCCAGGCTCTCTCTCTACAGGTCTGGGTGGCCAGTTAATGAAAAAGCCACACTTGGGTGGCTCCTCTCCTCCTCTAAGGCATGGTGGTGGCATAAGAGGACCTTGCTGTGCATTGGGGGTTATGTTCCTGTGTCTCTCCGAGACTCTGTCCTGTGCATGGGCTGGGGCTGGTCCAGCTGCCAGCCTGCAAAGGGACTCTTCTTGTTGTGCCTGCCTCTGACTTTTTTGACATCATTCTAATGGTTCCATGTGAGCAAGGTGGTACTCGCATCTTCTGGCACAGGTAATCCATTGGCTGTGTACCTGCTGTGCTTATTTTGGAATCAGTGGGGAAATGGCAGTTCATCTAGTTTCTGCTTATTCTATTTCCTAAATACATATTTAATTTACATTAATTTAATAAAGAAAATCAATAATATACAATAAAGCAAGCACAAAAAAATTAGAACACTGTGAATTATAGTTCTTATGGAAATAAATTCACCTGAAAAATGCCTCAGTAAGATTGTGTGTCCTTTATGGGGTGGGGGTTCAAGAAAGCAGCACCCTCCTGCCAGGCCTCAGTCTTGACTTACGGCTAAGGTGAGCTTAAAACACTAAACTCAAGGGAGATGACTTTCCAGTGACCTTGTCTCATGCTCTGTGCCCCACCAGCAAGCCTCAGCCTGTCCCCTGGGACACTGTAGGCACATATAGGTCACAGGAATAGGAAAGTAGTGATTCCCACTCTCTCACACCTCACCTTATCTGGCCCAGGAAGATCTCATGGGTTGCCGGGAGCTGTCTGCCTACCTTGTGCATCGAAGAACTCTTCATCTGAGCCCTCATCAGAGTCCCTGGCGATACTCTGCATTCTCCACTCTGAGATGCTGTGTCGGGAGGGGCTGGCTGGAAGGCAAAACCCAAGTGTGACTTCCTGGCCTGCAGGGGAGGGCCCAGGGGCTCTGTTGAGCCAGCTACAGCGGGGTGTGTTTGTGTGTGTGTGTGTGTGTGTGTGTGTGTGTGTGTGTGTGTGTGTTGGCAACTTGGAGTCCTAAGTGGGACTCATCAGAAAGGTATGCTGAAGATAGAAGTGAAGAAATGGGGGGCGTGGTATCTAGAGCCCATCTAGGTGGAAGCTTCTGGCCCTTTCAAGAGGAGCCCTTTGATAGTAGGTAGGTGTGTCCATGGAGAACCTAGGACATGTGCTCAGTTGGATGCTGGGCCCAAACATGAATAAACATGGCCACAGCAGAGCTGACAAATAGAATGCTGGCTGCAGGACAGTATTGGGAGATGGGAGACCAAGGGGTTGGCTCATCCCGTTCCAATGCCATGAGCCCAGGGCTAGGCCCACTGGGCTTGGAATGCAGGCTTGCAAGGGGCACACCTGGAAGCATAGGGAGACCTTACTTCATCTTGTCTAGCATTTGATACTTTGAAGGCATCCCTTCAGAGATGATCCACTTGTGCAGGTCTGGGGAGCCTGCCCAGACCCAACTCCCGGGTTCCTCAAGGTCACTGTCTGTCTATGTGGGGCATATAGGTGAGTCAGGAGTGAGTGTCTGCTGGGGTGAGGGTATTTATTTTGAAGCCCAGTCTAGCTTCAGTTAGAAAGAGTTAGCTGGACAATGCTCAAAGAAAAGGGCCCGTTTTGAGAGCTAGAAGGATCTAACAGTGGTGTGGCTGCCTTGGGAAGACAGGGCAGGAGGAGGACCCTGTATCAAAAGTCAGGGATTCCAGCTCACCCCCCCGCTTGGAGGACCGTGAGGACTTGGAGGAGGTGGACCACTGCTTCTTCAGGCCCCGCCCCACCAGTGGCTCCCCATTGCTGTTGCTGGGCTCAGGGGGTGCCCCAGATGCCTGGTCCTGTGTCACATGGTCCTTGCTGAGCTCTGTGGCCCCCTCCTCCTCAGCAAACTGGGCCATCTTGCGGGACAGCATGAGCTGTGCTTCCCTCTCCAGCTCCCGGATGTTCTCCATGTTCAGCCCAAACCACTCGTCCTGCCAGCACCAGGCCTGCCGGTGGGCCCGTACCATCACCCGCCGCAAGCCTGCAAAGAGCCAGGGACAGAGGAAGGGTCACGTCAGAGTCACTGTGCACCAGGGTCAAGCTGCAAGTCAGGCTAGAGTCACTGTTCGCCCATGCCTCGGTTTCTTTATTGTAGAACCAGAGAACCAGCTCCCAGATGGTCTCAGGAGCTCACAGTGGTGGTAAAGCTGGAGGGGATTTCTGCCCCAGGGGAAAGTGGCATAGAACTTCCCAAGATTCTCTTGTCTCAGCGCTTGGCCTACTTTTCCAGTTGAATTTCCCATGGAAAATCAAATGGGTTGTTCTTTTTTCGTATGCATGGAAGGAGGGTGTGGGTGTACATGTGTGGAGGCCAGACATTGGGTGTCTTTCCTTTATCACTTTCCACCTATTTTTTGAGACAGGATCTCTCACTGAACCTGGAGCTCATTGATTTGACTAGACTGGGTGACCAGTGAGTTCCAGGGATTCTCCTGTCTACCTCCCAGCACTGGGATTATAGGGACACACTACCATGCCTGCCTAGCTTTTTTATGTGGATTCTAGGGGATCAAACTCAGGTTCTCCTGTATATGTGGCAAGCACTTTACCAAATGAGGCATCTCCCCAGCCCCATTCTTTCTTTTATTTATTATTTTTATTTTATGTGTATGAGTGTATTGCCTTCATGCATGTAAGTGTACTCATGTTGTGCAATGCCCAAGAAGGTCAGAAGAGGGCATCAGATCCCCTGGAACTGGAGTTACAGATGGTTGTTAGCTGCCACGTGGGTGCTGGGAACTGAACCCAGGTACTCTGCAAGAGCAGTCTCTGCAAAAGCAGCCAGTGCTCTTAACCACTGAGTCATCTCTCCAACCTACCCCCCTTCTTTCTTTATTTAAAAAAACAAAACAAGCCGGGTGTGGTGGCACACATCTTTAATCCCAAAACTCTGGGATCTCTGTGAGTTCGAGGCCAGCCTGGTCTACATAGTGAGTTCCAGGCCAGATGGGGCTACAGGGAGACCTTGTCTCAAAAAGAGAGCTGAATGCAGTGGTAAATTCAGGTAATCCCAGCACCTGGGAGGTGGAGGCAGGAGTTCAAGATTATAAATTCATCCTGCCAGGTATGGTGGCACATACCTTTATTCCCAGCCCTCAGGAGGCAGAGGCAGGAGGATCTCTGTGAGTTCGAGGCTAGCCTGGTTTAAAAAAATATTACAAATTCATCCTTGGCTAAAACTGAGTTGGAGGCCAGTCCCAGCCTGAGCCACATGAGACCCTGTCTCAAAAGAACAAAAATTGACTAATAAAGTGGGCCAGTAGGTAAAGGCATTTGCTGCCAAGCTTGACAACCAGAGTTCAGTCCTCAGAACCCACATGGTGGAAAGAGAACGGAGTCTCTCAAGTAGTCCCCTGACATGGATGGGCACAGTGGCACTTGGGTACTCATACACACATACACATATACATACACAAAATAAATAAATATGAAAAAAGGTTAAATCAAAACAGACCCCAAAACAACAAAGCATCTATAGAGTGGGGATATAACTTAGTTGATGGTTGGAAGAACACTTGTCTAATGTATGAGGCTCTGAGTTTGATTCTTGGTACCACAAAAAAAACTAAAAATGCTTTTAAGAAAATATATATGAGGTAGATAAGAATCTATTATACATATAAAATAACATATAGTGATATATCTTTTAAGGTATAAAGCATAATAAAATAGCTGGGTATGGTGGCTCATAACTTTAATTCTAGCATTCTGGAGGCAGAGGCAGGTAGATCTCTGTGAGTTCAAGGCCAGTCTGCATGGTGTGTAGAGTAAGTTCCAGGCCAGACAGGGCTACAAAGTAAGACCCAGTTTCAAACAAGACGAAGAAAGAAGAAGGAGGGGGAAAGGACAAGGAGTTGGGGAGATGGTTTAGTTTGCAAAGTGCTTGCTATGCAAGCATAAGGATCTGAGTGATCCTCCAGAACCCACGTAAAAGCCGGGTATAGTGGTGGTACATGTCTGTAATCCCAGCGCTGGTAAGGCAGAGACAGGAGGATCCCTGTGACTTACTGGCAAGCCAGTCTAGTTGAATCAGCAAACTCCAGGTTCAGTGAGAGATTCTGTCTTAAAAAATAATGTATGGGGCTGGAGAGATGGCTTAGCAATTAAGAGCACTGACTGCTCTTGCAGAGGACCCAGGTTCAATTCCCAGTACCCACATGGCAGCTACAAACCATCCTTAACTCCAGTTCCAGGGAAATCCGAAGCCCTCTTTTGACCTCCATGGCACTGCATGACACAGATGCACTCACATACATGCAGACAATACACTCATACACATAAAAAAAATAACATATGGAGTGATGTAGGAAGACATTTGATGTCTACCTCTGGCCGCCTCACGTGCACCTCCATCACATGAACACACATACACACACACACAAAGGAACTACAGAGACAGAAAGCAATTTGGGGTGTTCTTGGCTAGAGGGGAATAGAGATGACTGAGTATAAATAAAAAGCACCCTCTGGGGTGATGAGATGCTCTGAAGCTTGGTACACATCTGAATACATGTCTTAAAACTGACCTAACTTCTCTCTCACATGGGCAATGATGGTATATAAATTATGCCTCAATAAAGCTGCTTTAAAAGCATAAAAGGAAATAAAACATCAATGCCCGCCCAGCAAAGGAAGAGAGGGTCCTCAGTGACAGAAGCCCCTCAAACATTCCTCTCTACCTCAGACCCCTCCCTGGAAGTATCAATCCTGGATTTTGTGTTTGTGACTTGCTTTGTTTCAGGTTTTAGTGTGAAGACATGTTTTCTACACAGTGTGTTGGGATGGTCTGGTTGCTGTTCAGATTTACATATATGTGTCTTATGTGTTTTCTGTTGCTTGCCTCTCTGGGCAAGTTCCATTCTGTCTACACTCCCATGTGGTTCTAGGTGCTGGGTTTGCTGTGGCACAGTGTTTATGTGTTTGAAACACTACATTTTAGTTCTTTTCCTACCAATGGGTCTTTGGCTTCCATTTTTCTATTTTGTGCCTGAACATTATAGAATGTACATGAGTTTATCTAGTGAACATACTTTGGAGGAGTGTTGGCTGGCTCTCAGGGTATACATACTCCACTTCCCCAGAGAACACTGAGTGGCCTTCCAAGAAGCTGAGATCTGGTGTGTCCTCAGCTGATCTCCCAGGGCTTCTCCCTCTTTCCCTTCTGATGCCCTGTGCCTCCTTTCCTGAACTATACTTTCTGAGAGGTCCATCTGTGGAAACTACTGCTCACCCTTGGCATGTGATGGTACCCTCCTTCAGCAAGGGCTGATTGTATTTGCCCACACTTCAGGGCTGGCCTTGGACACTGCATTGATGAGCCTCAGTTTCCTTTTCTGGGCCTGTCTGCTGACCTCACAGTCTGCTCTAAACCAAACAGAGGAAGGCCTCCTCTTGGGGTACCTGGAAGGGTTGGGACACTGTACCTGGGGTCAGTCACAAATAGGACAGCTAAGATTGGGAGTTCTTTCTCTAAGACTACCTGGACCCGGCTCACGCAGATTCACTAATTATTCCTGTGAGAACACTGATGCTCACAGCGCTCAGACAGGGTTGTGTCATGTCCATCTTAAGCTCTGCATTCCAAGATCCACCCTATAGCAGCCCTGCAGGACTGGCACAATTATACCTGCTTCACAGATAAGGAAAGAGAGGCTTAGAGAGGTAAGGGACGACTGCTATGGCAGAGCGAGGACTGCATGCCACAGTTGTCTCACCAACTTTATCCCTATCTTTCTCTCTAAGGAAAGTGCTGACTTTTAGGGAGCTAAGGAGTCTGGGTTTGGCCAGGAACTCAGTGGTTACCTGGGGACAAGGAGGGCATAGGGCCCAAAGAGTCTGGGAAACTACTGTTTCTAGGGCCAGAAGTCCCAGCCAAAGGCTATGTATGTGGGCCATGCTAAACAGAGCACAGCGAGGCCTCCAGGAGAGGGTGGGTGGGATAAGTCAGCAAGATGATGGAGAAGGGAAAGGGCCAGGGCAACCCCCTTTCCCAAGTCCCCCCTAGTCCTTATGTCTTACTGCTCTGAAGTGAAACCTATGCTTCAATTTTGGAAGGTGGGCACTACAAACAGGAAGGGCAAACACAACTGGTGGGCAGGCCTGACTGATACCCAGGCTGGCTCTATGACACTGTCCTCCAGGCCAGGGGCCTCAGAATAAGGGCTGTGGGTAATGGGGACACTGGTTGGGCCAATCTCAGCTCTCATAGAGTTAGACAGACAGACTTGGGGGATGTGTTCCATTCTTCTGTCACCTCTACTGACCCCTATCATGAGCCCTGTAATAGCCTTCTGGAAAAGGAGCAAGGGATGGTACATCTGAGATACTACCCTTGAGGGTGAAGCTGGTGACACTGTCCTACGCCATCAAGGTCACTGCATAGAGCATCTCTACTTTTCCAGGTGGGAGGCCTACCTCCTCAGACCCCAGAGCTCTGCTGTGGGCAGGGACACTGTCCACGTGGTCTCTGGCACTCATACTGTATGGGGTTGTCTGATGACACCTCCACACCACAGAAAATATCTGTTCTGGGCTCAGCCTCTGTGTAGGCTCTGTTTCCTCCTCTGTAAACAACTCTAACATTCGTGGGTTATCATGAACCAATGTGACAAGGGTAGAGAATATTATCAACAGCATGGCTCTGTGTCTAAAACACTAAGCCTCTTTTGTTAGTGGTATTGAGAGGCATCTGCCTAGGTGTTTCTATGGGGTTATGGGCATGGGACTGGGACCAGATGATAGTATCAATCATATATGATATGGGAATCTGGGGCTAAGGGCTCTAAGGGAAGGGTGAGGGGAAGAACCCTAGGCAGCATTCCTTGGCTGGGAGTCCCAGGCATCTGTTGGTCCACTTGTTTCCTGGGAACCTGCTCTGGGCAGGCCATATAGGTATGAAGTGCACTGTGTCTGAACCACTCTGCCAACTGGAACTTCCAGTCTGTGTGAAAAGGTAGAGCTAAGGCCTGCTGGGGCTTGGGCCTCTTAAAGTAGAGGAAAGAAAAGCCTGAGAACCAGAAGTCCAGTGGGCAGAAAGTGGGGCTTTCCACAGGAGCTGCTGGTGTAACAGGAGTGTAGACTACATGCTATCAGACACCACCCAGGTCAGGCATGTCTGGGCATCTGCATAGACAACAGGCACAGTTGTAGAGGGCCAAGACAGACCAGAGGGGAGAGAAGATGGGCACAGGCTTTGGGGCCACCTTTGAGGAGTAAATTGGAAGCATATAATCATAGCACATAGATAATGGAGGCAGACAGGTAGGAGCTTCTCCACTCCAGGGAATGCTTACCTGTATCATGGATGAACCTCTCTATCTTGGACTGCATGCCCCAGTAGCGAAACTCCACCTTGCAGAGCTTGTAGGCACACATAATGGGAAGGAGCTGCTTCTTGTACTCCTCAATCCAGTTGTCAGACAAGGGCCCCCGATGAGTCTTGACTGACTGGAACAGCTTGGGGTCTTCTTCTGTCCTATACTCATTGGGGGGCACAGGATCCTTGACAATGTCGATGATATCTGTGGGGACACCCCATGAGTGGCTTCATCTGTCCAACCTCTACCCACCCTTTCTAGACCTTAAGTCTTTGGAGGGTGTGCTGGATTGCTTTAATGTCAACTTGACACACCTGGGTTGAGGGCGCCTCAATTGGGGAATTGCCTTCATTGGACTGGCCTGTGGCCATGTCTGTGAGGCATCTTCTTGATTGTTGTGTGATGTGGGAGGGCCCAGCGCATTGTGGGTGGTGCCACCTCTGGGCAGGTGGGCCTCTCTTGTATAAGAAAGCAAGTTGAGCAGGGGCCAGGAGAGAAGCCAGTAAGCAGCATTCCTCCATGGCCTGTGCTCCAGCTCCTGCTTCCAGGTTCCTGCCCTGAGTTCCTACCTTGGGCTCCCTGATGAACTGCGACCTGGGAGATGTAAGCTGAATAAACCCTTTCCTCCCCAAGTTGGTATTGGTCAGAGTGTTTTGTCACAGCAATGGAGAAACAAACTAAGACAGAGGGCTTGGGCCTCATCATGTAGGAGGGATGTTGTATGTGGATTTCAGGATGATGCTCCTGGTGACTCCCTGACTACCATCCTTAAGCCCTTCCTGTTGCCTTTGTGTAAATGTTACTGGGAACTAAATGTAGGGCCTCACACGTACTAGATAAGTGCTCTACTTGTCTGAGCTCTATCAGATGTATACATCTGAGATACATTGAGCTATATCCCCAACCTTACTTTTACTTTTTTTGGGGGTCTGTTTTTTGTCTTTTTGAAACAGGGTCTCCCTGTAGCCCCAGCTGGCCTGGAACCCACTATGCAGACAAGGTTGGCCTTGAACTCCCAGAGATCCACCTGCCTCTACCTCCCAAGTGCTGGGATTAAAGGCCGGTGCCACCATACCCAGCTTTACTTTTATTTTTAGACAAGGAAGTTCTTACTAAGTTGTGCTGGCTGGCCCTGAACTTGTGGTCCTCCCATCTTAGCCTTCAAGGAGCTTTGATAATGGCCTGTACTACCTGGCCTGGTTCTTGTTGCTTTTTTTGAAGTCAACTTGACAAACCCAAGGTCCATGTGCATCCTATCTCTCAGAAACCAGGTAAATGGACCAGTGAGCCAAGGAGACACAGGGAGGGGAATTTCCATGGGAAATAGGGGGTAGGGAGGGACAGAAAAGAAAGTCGTAAAAAGCTTCTCAGAACAGGGTGACATTTTGGTCAGAGGACTAGAATTTTGAGGCCAGGAGTGTCCCATGCAGCATTGGTGCTGAGCTGAGGTGGGGGCTTGGGGAACCACCGGGCTGCCTATCTGGGAGAGGGGCTGCCTGGCTGGGTGAGGAGGCACCTGTCTGGGTGATGTGTGTCTGGGGAGAGGGAACTTTTGTGGTGGTGAAGGAGAGCCAGGAGGCACTGGCCATTGCTCACCAGACCAGGCTCATGAATAGTACCCTGAGCAAACAGACCTATGCCCAGAGCTTACCCTGGGAGGGACATGGCCAGGCTGACCTACAGGAAGCCTTTCTGGATTAGAGGAGACTTCAGAGCTGCATTAGACCCTCAGGTGTATTCTACTTGACAAGTATAAGTTTACTTACCAAGATTTTAATTAGTTGACAATCTTTAGGAATTGGGAGATTTCCCATGAAAATACTTATCTCTCACCTCTCTTTAGAAGGTTTAACAAATGGGGCCTGTTTCCTGCATGACAACATCAGCTAGAGGGCAAGGCAGCAGAGATAACCAACCCATCACCCCAGGCCACAGGCCCCGTTATGGGGCCAGCCCACTCTGCCCACCAGTATTCACAAGTATCTCTTAGCCAGTCAGCACCCTAAGAGCACAAATTGCCTCTAAAGAGCAAAAAGCCCATGAACTTGGGGTGCATATTGAGGACATGGAAGCCTGTCCTGCCTCACTCTGGGCTCCACATACAAGCTGGGAATCCAACCTGACCTCAGGGTTGGGAGAGGCCAGGGGCAGAGGGGCAGGACCAGAGGGGTCTGAGAGTAGGAATGCTGTGAGTAGGATGCCAGCCCTCCTGTTCACCTGTCATCAGCTGGTTCTTTTCCACAGGTGACAGGCTGAACACATCAGTGTTTTCCCCAGCATCAGTCTTATAAAAGGTTTCGATGTCGATGGAGAACTTCTCCACAAAAGGGCAGGTGAACCTGAGGAAAAGAACATTCATTGGGACTGAGCTCTGGTCTGCAGTTAGTTAGCAGCCTGTTGGATCACACTGGGTTGAAGCAAAGTGGACAGAATGGGGTTGGCTAAGATGTAACAGCAATGTCTATTTCCTATACTGTTACCTGGTCCCCAACAGCCAAGCCAGTTTAGGGAAAAGAGAAGTGACAGGGATGAAAGCAGTCAAACTTTCTTGGCAGTTTCTAGAAGCCCCACAGCTGGTGTCCATGTGAATGTGGTGTGGTAGCAATGTGGGCACAGCTACGAGAGCAGAGTACTGTGGAGTCAGTGGATCTGGGCCAGGTACTCCTGGCACATGTCACCCTACCTGTAAGGAGCCAGTTCTGGCAACAGGGGAATAGTTCCTCTTTGGGATGGAGAAGAGCTCTCTGAGATCCTCAGCTAGTTCCCAACATTCCCTAGGTATGGGGGAAGGAAGCCCTAGGAGACTGGAGGAGAACATGCCTGCCCAGCAAGAGCTAGCACTGAAGGGCAAAGAGTGAAGAGAAGATCCTCTGCCCTGGGGTTACAAGGGAAACCCTGCTCAGCATGGGATGTGTAAAACACTGCCATAGAAGCTCAGGGTCTCTTAGGTGGAAGGGACCTTGGGACATCTGGTCTACCTTCAGTTCATACTTCTCAGTAGGCTCCCTGTCCCTGCTCAGGGAAACTTAGAAAGTGTGCATTCCCTGAACTTTCCCAAGATGGTAGCCCTTGCTCAATCCCTGCCTTTGTAGACTCTGAACCTGGGTAGTCTGGGAGGCATCCAGGGGCATACTTCCCTTTCTTGAATATGAATACCTGCATATCTTTAGGGGACATATGTGAGACAGAGTTTGGTGCTTTGGGGGGTACAGGGGTTGAGGCTGCCAAGGGAGACCTGGATATATGTTACAGGGTTCTTCCCACAGGTGGCATGACAAGTAGGAGGCAGAGGCAGGCACACCTGGTTCGGGTGTAGGGGTAGGCGTTCCAAGACTCCTCCACTACCCGCAAGGCTGCTTTGGGCAAGATGGAGCGAAACCAGCCAGGGATGTGCATGCCCACATGGTACACCTTGTGTGTGTACTGCCCAGAGCCGCCAGGACCATCTGTATAGGGTCGGTTTTCCAGGATCTCCACACCGCTGCCTTCTCCATAGGTCTCATTGCGGCTTTTCTTCTGTGGGAAAAAGCACTGTGATGTGTGGTCAGAGTACTCTGTACATGAGAAGGGGCTTAGGGGATGAGAGCAGAAAAGAGTCTTTAGCCTTAAGGATGGCTCTTCCTATGTCATTTCAGGATCCTCACCCCCACCCCCAATTCTAGACTATTGCTCAGTGCGCCCCAAGCTTCTGGCTGGAGGCTGAAAGGGCCCTGGGTTTCTTCTTCAAGTCCAAGTATTGCACATACAAACTGTCTGTTCTGACTCCTGTCTTTCTCATAACTGAGTGTTCCCAAGGTCAAGAATTAGACAGGAATCCCCCCCCATCTCCTTTCCTGTTTCTTTTCTTGCTTCTTTCTTTTTTATCTTTCCTCCCTTCCCTTTCATTTTTGCTTTCCTTCCTCCATCCTTTCCTCCCTCTCTCCTTCTCCTTTTTTATTTTCGAGACAGGGTCTTGCAATGTAGCCCAGATTGGCCTTAAATTTGCAGTTCTGACTCAGCCTCCTAGGAGCTGGCATTACAAGCATGTGCCACCATGCCAGCCTTGGATGCCTACTTTCTTGTTTCTATTCAGTTTTGTGTTGGTCATTTCAGACACAATAATTAAGCAAGGAAAAGAAATAATAAGAGGTATCCACACTGGAAAAACTATCTCTATTTGAGGAGGACATACTCTTTACATAAAAACTGTGAAAAACCGGGCATGGTGGCGCATGCCTTTAATCCCAGCACTCGGGAGGCAGAGGCAGGTGGATCTCTGTGAGCTCAAGGCCAGCCTGGTCTACATAGTAAGTTCCAGGACAGCTGGGGCAAACAGGGAGACCCTGTCTCAAAAAGACCTAAAAAAAAAAAAAAAAACTGTAAAGAATTTCCATCAACTTTCTCAGATTTAACAAATGAATTCCACAAAGCTGCAGGACACAGAATCAATACAAAAGCTGAATATCACAAAAAGGAGACCAGGTAGATTTACAAGAACAAATAGGAGCACATTTAACCAGACACAGGAAAAATGTGTGCACTGAGAAACCATAAAACGGAAAAGAATAAGTGACCTAAACAACCAGAAAAACCTTTAATCTTCTTCATAGGTTGGAAGATTTAATGTTAAGATAACAATCTCCAAAGAAACCTATAGGTCCAATGCAATCTCCAGTAAAATTTTAGTGACTTAAAAATGTATTTTATATTTATTTATTTATTTATTTTTGGTCTTTTTGAGACAGGGTCTCCCTGTAGCCCCAGCTGTCCTGGAACTTACTATGTAGACCAGGCTGGCCTTGAACTCACAGAGATCCGCCTGCCTCTGCCTCCCGAGTGCTGGGATTAAAGGCATGTGCCATCATGCCCAGCTATTTATATTTTTTATGTGTATTAGTGTATTTCTTGCATGTGTGCAAGTGCACCTGTGCCATGCAATGCCCAAGAAGGTTAGAAGAAGGCATCAGATCCCCTGGAACTGAAGTTACAGACAGTTGTTAGCTGCCATGTGGGTACTGGGAATCGAACTCGGGTCCTCTGCAAGAGGAGTCAGTGCTCTTAACTGCTGAGCCATCTCTCCAGCCCCACTATTAGATCTTAAAAAGGAATGAAGTACATCATTAGTCCTAGCATTGGAAGGCAAAGGCAGGCGGATATCTGTGAGATGGAGACCAACTTAGTATACATAGTGAGTTCCAAGCCATCTGGGGCTACAGGAAGACCCTGTCTTAAAAAGACCAAAGGCGTAGTGAAGCATGCCTTTAATCCCAGCACTTGGGAGGCAGAGGCAGGTGGATCTCTGTGACTTCAAGGCCATTCTGGTCTGCATAGTGAGTTCCAGGCCAGCTGGGACTACAGGAAGACTCTGCCTTAAAAACAACAACAACAACAACAACAAAAAAAACAACCCCCAAAACAAATGAAGTGTTAAAACATGTTATAATATAGATGAGCCTGGAAAAAATTATATAAGTGAAAGAAGCTACTCACAAAAGACCATACAGTGTGATTCCATTTATATGAACTATCCCAAGTAGGAGAATCCATAGAGATGAAAAGTAGAGAGAGACAGAGACTTACTGGGAAGACATTTGGTATTTACAGAATAACAGAGGTTAGGGACAGGAATCAAGCATGAGCCCACCCAGCCAGAGCAAAAGAGAAGCTGAGGAGGCAGCAGAGATTTTGGCAGGAGTCCCTTCATCACACAGGGCCATGAACTCCCCAAAGGACATGACTTTCTCACTGGCTGCTGTTGACAGCTCATTAAAAACACATTCCCTTGATATAAGAGCTAAAATGATAAAACTCTAGAAGAAAAATGCAGGCATAAGTTTTTATGACCTTGGATTAGACAACTGTTTATAATCATGATACCAAAAACATAAATTACAAAAGACAGATTACCTGGACTTGATTAAAATTAATAATTCATGCTCTGAAGAACATTAGAAAAAAAGTTAAAAGAGCCAGCATGATGAAAGAAAAATTGTCAGTAAGATCTGATACCTGCAATTTGTATTCAAAATATACAAAGAATGCCTATAACTCAACAACAAAGAGACAAATAACACTTCAAAAACAGTGAAAGGCTTGAACAGCCATGTCACTGCAGATGGACAAAATGGCCAATGAACATGTGAAGAGTGCTCAACATCACAAGTTGTTAAAAATATACACCCAAACTACAGAGAGATACCACTTCATACCCACAAGGATGGTTAGAAAGACAACAGAAAATGTTGACATGGAGAATCTAGAACCTTCATGCATTGCTGAGGGGACCTTAAAATGGTACACAGGGGAAAAGAGTGTAACAGTTCCTCAAAAAGTTAAACATAGAGTTACCACACAAACCAGCAATTCTACAACTAGGCACACACACTCAAAGAAAAACAAACTTACAACCTTCTAGATGATACTTATACACAATGACCAAAAGGCAGAAATAATCCAAATGTCTGACAGCAGATGAATGGAAAAGCAAATGTGGTATTATACAGTGGAGTAAGATTCAGTCATAAAGCGAGATAAAACACTCATACTTGCTAAAATGTGGATGAAGTCAGAAAACATGTTAAATGACAGAAATCAGATACAAAAGGCCACATATTGTATGAGCCCATTAGTGGAAACATCCAGAAGAGGCAAACCTAGAAGTCAAAAGCCAACTGGCAGCTGCCAGGGGCTGGAGTGTGGGCAGATCAAGAGAGGATTCTTTTTATAAAATTTGTTTTTATTTTATGACTGCATGTATATAAGTGCAACTGTGTTGTACAGTGCCCATGGAAGCCAGAAGAAAGCGATGGATACCCTGGAACTGGAGTTAATAGATGGTTTTTATCTGCCATAAGGGTGCTGGAATTTGAACAGTCAGTACTCTTAACTGCTGAGCCATCTCTTCAGCCCCTGAGGGGGTTCCTTTTCAGGGTAACAATTTTCACACTTGAGTTACTATATGAACCAGAAATTCTACTCCTAGGTACACTTTTTTGAGACAGGGTCTTCCAGTAGCCCCAGCTAGCCTGGAACTCACTATGTAGACCAGGCTGGCCTTGAACTCACAGAGATCCACCTGCTTCTGCCTCACAAGTGCTGGGACTAAAGGCATGCACCATCACACCTGGCCCTCCTAGGTACACTCTTAAAACATAGGAAAATGTATTTACCCATTGTGATGGTTACTTTTAATTTTGAACTCAACACAGTATAGAATCACCTAGAAAAAGAGTATCAATGGTACTGTCTACATCAGGTCAGCCTGTAGGCATGTCTTATGGGGGACAGTTTTGCTTATATTAATTGATATGAGAAGACCCAGCTCACTGTGGGCATTCCTTAGGTTTGGGTCCTGGACTGTATGAGTGGAGAAGGTGAGCTGAGTTCTAAGCATGTATGCATTCTCTCTGCTCTGGACTCTGGGTGTGATGTGACCAGCTGTTTTAGGTCTTGCTTCCTTGACTTCCCTGCTATGTTAGATTTGTGACCTGGAATTGTGAGCTAAAATAAACCCTTTCTCCCCTAAATTGCTTTTTGTCAGGGTATTTATCACAGCACCAGAAATTAAACTAAGATACAAATTTACAGATAATATTTATAATATTGTGGTGGTTTGAGTGAGAATGTCCCCCACTGGCTCTAAGTATTTGGACATTTTGTCCCCACTTGGTGGTACTTTTTTGGAAAGTTATAGGAGGCGTGGCCTTGTTGGAGGAAGTATGTCACTGGGGCGGGCTTTGAGAGTTCTTAAGCCTTGCTGGACTGCCAGTTCCTTTCGCCTTCTTGTACCTGCTTGAAGATGTGTGTTTCACTTTCTGCTCTGGCCGTCTCTACTTCCATGCCTCCCTGCCATGATGGACCCTTGCCCCCTTGGAACTGTAAGCTAAATAAACTCTTTCTTCTGTAAGTTGCTTTGGTCAGTGTTTTTAACACAGCAACAGAAAAATAACTAATACAAATACCCTAAAGATGATGGCTACACAGCTCTGTGACTATGCTAACAACTACTGACCTGTATACTTCAGGTGGGTGAATCATATAGTGTGTGACTTATAAAGCTGTTATAAAAACAAACAAACCTCAATCTTGCCTCTTGTATTCACCAAGGTTAAAGAAAAGCCAAACATGTGGAGTGAGAAGGGGCTTGGTGACACTGTCTGACACAGATGCACCTAGGTTACCTCTAAGTGTCTCTGGGCCACAAATATCCTTCACAGAGCTTTACATTTTCTGTTTTATAGACCACATCATGTTTGAGGTACTGGTGACTTTAAGCCCAGTGTCTGCTTCCATGGATACATGATGGCATTGCCAAGGGGCCATCTTTGGTCAGCTTCCTGAGCAGCGGGTGTGTCTCAATGTGGACACACAGTATCCCACCTAAGTGCTCGCATCTACATGCATAGATGTATGCACATTCATGGATGCTCCCTGACATGTCCTCACCCAAGAGCACGACCCCCAATAGTACCCAAAGTCAGCTCTAGGGCCCAGAGTGACTGATTCTCCCTCAGAAAGATGGACTGGCCAGGTGTAGT